CCAAAGAGAGAGATCCTGCACAAAAGGTCTCAGAGTGAGTTGATGAGAGCGGTAGCAGAGGCGCCGCCAGCGCCCGTTTCCGAAGTCACTCTGACGCCGCCGGCTGCTGACGAGCGCCGAGAGGGTGGAAGGCAGCGCGGCGGCGGGGGCGGTGGGCGTGGGGCGGGGGCGGGGGCGGGCGCAGCGAGTTCTCGTTTCGCGTGAGCGCGGCGCTGCCGCTCGTCAGCAGCGGCGGCGTCAAGTGACTTCGGAAACGGGGCGTTGGGCGCCTCTGCTACCGCTCTCATCAACTGCACTCTGAGACCTTTGTGAGGGCGTTTCTCGCCCATTTAGGCCCATGCGTCCAAGAGTTTTCTTCGAAAGTGATTGTTCATAGGTTTCTTTTACCTCTCTGACGTTCAACACTTTGTGATATTTGTGAGGCCGCGGAAGAAGGAAGCATTGAGGAACATACAATTCGCTAAGGTGCGCCACGGCCTGCTACGCCCTTAGGTCCACGTGTGTTCATTAAAAGAGATGGATCGCACGTCTTTACTGTGTCGTTCTCTGCTCTTTGTGAAGACACACGAGAAGGTTTGATATTCTCTTTGAATAGAAACAATTTTCTGCGGTGGTTCATGCACATCTGTGATCATACTCCGAAGTGTGCTCCTTAAAAATGGTTGTGATTCCTACGATTGTTGAGATGCCTTTGTCGAGTGGAAAAAGAAATGATTGTTTAATCCAGTGCTTCGTTGATTTACACTGGTTTAAAGATTTTCGAAGACAATTTACTGTAAAGAGTCGCGCCCATTTGTAGTGCAATGCAAAATAATGTCTCTTAAAAGATATATGTTTCTATCATCGTTCCTCATCTTTCACTGGGTGCGGAAAAATGAAACAGGTACTAATAGAGAAAGGAAGTTGTTAATAAATTTCGTTGACACGTGGCTTCAAATGTTGCCTTTGTAATATGGTGTAAAGTTCATATTGCATATTTTGTGCGCGCCTGAAAGGATTGCCTGAAAGGATTTACTTTGTTCATCACTAGCGGCATCGTCTTGTTATCAAATTCGTGCGGTCGTGCTGCAAAAAAAAATGTTACTAGAAAATACGATTCATATTGACCTAGTGCGGCATCACCCTCGCCAAAGGTGTCAAAGCTATCTTTGCTGTGAGGATCTTCCTCATGCAGAAGAAAACGTAGGTAAATGGCACAATTTGTGTAATATAATTTCGTCCTAATGAAACTAAACACTTTTTGGACGAAGTACGTTGGAAGAAATCCGATCCTAAACAGTTGCGCACCAACGTTGAAAGCATCACGGTGCTAAGCCACGCTGGGCTGCCAATTAAAGTTAATTTCTTTTACTTAACTTTGCCTCTTTTGCACGGAACGCTTCGTAGAACTCTTTCCTCGCGAGAGGGTTACGAAGCCCGTGGTAGATTGTTCGACACAGAAATGTGTTTTTTAGGCTTGACAATACTTAACCCGAACTCACTCATCAACCTTCATGAAGCACCTCGTCAGTGACGGAAGAAACTGAGGTAAACATACTGTAATTAATATAATAATTAAATAATTGTACAATTTCATTGAACGAATAAATATTTCCATATTTTTTTAAAGAAGGAGTCAAATAAATATTTCGATTCCAATTAACGTGTCAATTACGTGGCCAGAATTATCATAGATACCACTTTTATTGTTGATGAAACGACAAATGATGTTTCCGTGGGTCATATTGCCCTTTGAAGTCGGCGTACAGTAAGACGCTGACCACAAAATCTGATATTTCGTAATTATGTCAACGCACGAGTGGTTCAAGAAAACTCTTTTCTTCACGAACAGCTTAACTAGAACAAATAATAATAATAATAATAATAATAATAATAATAATAATAATAATAATAATATGTTACAACTTTCTCAACACCACCAGTACATTTAGGATAAGTAAGAATAGTAGATAAGTAGAATCACGGATTTTGTAAGAAGAAAGAAGTTACGCAAGTGATGCATTCATATATAGTAAGTTTTGTAATATGAATACAATGTAGAAAGCCACAGTACCTGTTGATGTTGCGAAATATTTCCTCAACTCATGTTACATGTGATACTGACGAGTTTCGCAAATGAGTCACATATTATATTAATTTCATTTAAATGTATCGTCATATTCCTTTTACAGAAAGATGTAAATATCACCCTTTCCAGAAGATCTGAATAGACTGAAATCTCTAATTCGTTTGCGGAGGGTAATAGGTTTTCTGTTAATCTAGAGCGAACATTTTTGGTTTTTGAATGTTGTCACCCACTCTTGTTAGTATCTTTTTCCATAATTCACTTGTACTGTGTGTGTATGGAGAGGGAAGAAACTCTACAGTTCAAGAAAACAAGCGCGGAACGTACTGTTGAATGAATATACGCAACTGTTAGAAATTTTACGTAGAGGGAAACTAGGAATCCTCCATTTATTTCCCCAAGAATTTCAAATTCATGACCCCAAACATAAATTACTTGCAACCAGTGGCGTGCATCAGCAATAACACTGTAGAACAAAATCACATAAATGACTTTCAAAAAGGTAGCTCAACAGAAACAAATTAAATACCCTCGTATAATACTAAAACGAATAAAATATTTTAACAAAGTGATCTTTACTAATACTGAAATAACATAGTACGGGGTTGTCGAACTGGCATCCGCGATTCCACTCATCATGGCCCGCGAAAAGTTACAGTCAAAGGGAAAGTTCCACGAGGAGCCCTGCATCACTCACTATTGTAAAATTGGTCAAGTTTAGATCTATGAATTTTTTCCAGTAAATTCAGAACTTCAAAATCATCCTAATGTGTTTGCATGCGTTGCACATGACATCACGCATGACATCACGCGCAGTTTTCACGAGTGGTGTCTTCCCTCCCCCTGTTTCAGAGCAGGAAAAACTACCACGATAAACCCACGTCAGGTGTGGATTACACGAGGAATGTAATGGCCCGCAACCGCATTGAAGATGGTAGTTATGGCCCTTGAGGCATTACACGTTGGACATCCCCCGTATATACGGTTAACATTGCAACAGTTATTTTCATACCAAGAATATCAAACGGCAATGTCGCAGCTGTTGTGTAAGCAGAGACACAGTCACGCGCTGAAAATGAGAATTCAGACGGTACGCACAGTATGAGAATGAGCGGAATAACAAATCAAGAATTTGTATTTTCAGTCAAAATCGAAACAGTTTCATTTTTTTTTCTCAAGTTCCTTCTTATATAAAGAAACCATGAAACCATGAGTAACATAGTTTTCTTTCCATTTCTATACGAATTGGACATCAGTAATAAAAATAACATGAAAAATACATAATGATTAAAAGACTTACTTAATATGTTCACTTTATCTTCAAAACAAATCAATGCTGACAGTTTGGCAAGAAATTTCAACACATTGTGCAGGGTTGTCCATTCCCTTCTCTCATATCTGGAAAGCTTCCTTCTTTACGCATTTTTGATAGATTTTCTAAGTTACTTCTCCTTCCCGATTGCGAGGTGTATTTTGAATTTCAATGTTATAAAGTCCGTAAGTCAAAACTATTACCTTTCTGTTCTTCTAAACTCGATATGTTATTTACATTTTTTCTTTTGTTTTAGGATACTTTTCAGGGGCCTCCTTAAATAGCGGTTTCTTGCTGTGGATAGATTAGGGATATATTTGAATCAAAGGGATTTTAATTTTTTTCATGAATATGAAGATATTTTGAAATATCTTCTCTTGGATTTCCAATTTTTTGATTTTTGCTACAGTTGAACAAAATATTACACTTCAGTAAAAATGTTTCGAAATGCTGAATTCCAGAAGCCACTGATTATTTTCAATAGTGTTAATACTTGTACTTCTGGAAAGACGTTTACAGCAAATTCAAGAATATTATCCAATGTGGCCATTTATTACTACAAACGTCCAAATTACTACAAAAGTCCAAATATTCAATTTATAATAACAAAACTTGTCAACAAATACTAATATATTTACTTGCATTCCTTTTCAAATAAGGTTCATGATATTATTAACAGTTGTAGAAGTCATTTCGTAAATATTATAATTCATATAAAATGTGTTTTGCTAAAATCTGACTTTCTGAGTGTTAAGTTAACTTCCATGCTTAGAGTCGAAACAAGTCAATGGCCTGACAAGGAAGATTCTGCCAACTCCTGGGGCTACCAACGTCGGCCCACCATACGTGTCTTCCTCTCAGAAAGTTGTGTTGGATCAAATAGTCTTACATGCATTACAGCCGTCATTTCAAAAGCGCGTTTCATGATAATTACTCGAACAATTGAAAATCTTACTAAAAATGGTACGGAGTGCTTTCTTGGCATAGTGCTAACAACTCTTTCCGCATTGCACAGACCGATTAATTACATTAGGAAAACACAGACTGAAATAACCCTTGTAAGCAAAATACATGAATCAGAAAAAGGTGCTGACACTTGATACCTGATACGTCTGAGGAAATAGTATTTGAAACAATTGCACCACAAAAAATCATTTGCGGTTGTGTTAAGGAATTTGTTAAATCTCAAGAATATTTTTTGCCTGAATTCCGCAATAATACTTTTGCTCTTTCGAGTGTTAAAACGAACTGAGATATTTTGATGAAGATATAAATATACCAAAATATATTGCATAATAATGTGCAATATATATTAAAGAAAGAAAACACATAATTAATTTCTTAAGGAATGATAGAAACCAAAGTGCAGAGACAGGCTTAAAAAGTCTGATTGATGTTGAAAATAGAAGAATGGCACAGTTCTATTAAAAACTTCATTGACTATATAGAAAAAAAGAAAACTCACCATTCATTTGCAGAATGTGACATTTTGTATAATGAATTATATACTCATAAGATTTCATAAATTGTAACCAAAATTATATTTCACAAATAAAAATAATAGAAGGGTAGAAGCAAAAATAGCAATTATACCAGGATTGGTGTAAAATAAACACCAAGAACATGAGATAGGAAACAAGTAACATATCACACAAATAATAGTAAACCTACTACATAGAATAGTATGTTGTATATATACAACACACTAATTGTATATATAACTCTTTATACACACTTGTATAAAGAAACCATGATTTCGACTGTTTTTTATCTCTGTTAATTTTTCTTTGTGAACAAAGATAATAATTTACTTTGTAAACAATAAACGGGAGTGTTCATATGTTTCAGAAATGCAAATTTTTGCATAGAAATAATTTTTTTGACAAAATATGCTTAAGAGATTATTTTCGAAGTTTCGACGTTTCCTCTCTGGACACCCGGTATACATGTTGTTTCTTGTATATTAAATTGCATATGTGTATTGTTATATATAGTACATGCACGGAATGCGAACACTTGCGCTGTTCGCCCGTTGGGAAAGAAGGAAAGGCCGCCTGCGGGGCGACAAAACCGCATCCCGGATAAACGCCGGCCAGGAGCCCCCCGCGCGGTCGGCGCCGGGCAGTCCGCCCCACTCGTGCGAAGCTGGCTCGCCGCACTGCACTCGCCCGTCGAATGCAGTGGTCATTCGAGCGTATCCATTCGGAAGCAAGCTGTTGGTGTGATTTCTAAACGTGGCGAAGAGGAATCAATATGTCTCGTGTGTTACGCGTTTGTTTTGTTCTTTTAAGTGTCTACTCAGTGACAGGTCAGTTGCAAATGGACTACGACAGGTCACAGAGAATGACACCGTCATATTCTGTGAAGGAGGACAATGTGACACTTTCATCAGAGAACAGTACCTCAAGAAGCCGCAGAGTTCGCAGACAATGGCCTGATCCGTCCTACTTGGACAATGAGGAATTATCATATTATTATCGCTTTCACTCCAGGGAACCTATAACAGAAGCGCCTCCGAAGCAGGACCCGTGGCCCAAGAGGTAGGGGTGTTACAATATTTTGTTGTGTACTGATAGGGCTCAGATTATCGTGGCCCAAAGTAGGGAATTCCAACCTTTTCTTTGCATTGACCCCTTATGAAATAATTCTTTGCTTCACCGAGCCCGTTACATTGTTTTCTGTTAGATACAGCCTATATAATCATAACACGAAGTCTTGATTTTGACTTAAAGATAACAATTGTGATGTTTTAATATTTTGGTAAATATCTTGATTTTCAACAATTATATACGCTTCATTTTTATGCAAATGTTCCATCTATTAGAACTGACCAAAACATATATGTATTTTGGATAATATTTTCTTTGCACGATACAGCAAACGTGTGAATACATAACTATAACTTATTGAGTTTTCTACACATCCTCATGATGAATAATGCACACAAAAAAGAAGAGCGAATTTATAATTTATTATTAGATGTTTTGTAGATTTATATTAGAAAAAGTATATTATCATTGTCGTTAATATATTTTTGTAAACAAAGGGAATTTAATCTTGATCTACAGAGATCATATTTCGCTACTGATCCCTCAGTGCATCTCTTATTGACACTCATTAAAATTTCATCTGTACTAACCTGTTGGAAACTACAGGCCTGAAGAGTTAAGATATATGCACGCGTACAAGTATGATCAGATACTAAGTTGTGTCATCAGCTAGGTAAAACAATCAGTTGTACCGTTTAGGAGAAGTTAACCACCAGACATTATACTTAATTTTGATTAAATATCTATTAGATGCGTAATATTTGAGGTAGGGTATATAAAAGATTTAGCGATTGTATTCCATGTAACAGTCGCGGTGTGAACACATTGATGACTTATTCGAGACTGGAACCTCAGAGCCCTGTTTGCAGCCTTCGTGTCGTTTTGCACACAGAGGCGATCATTTCTCAAACATCAGGAATGCAACGAATCAATGTTGTTAGATGGTCTTAAGCATTTTCCAGTAGGTAGAACTGTTAAAACCACCAAAGCGTTAAGAAAACCACCAAATTAAAAAAAATTAATGTTAAAAATAAATTAGGTAGGTAAATTAAAGAAATACGCAAAATATTATTAATTGTATATGATGATAATTATATTTTATAGTAAATACCTGTTTTAATACATAAAATAAGCATAGCAACTACTTATTATTATTAATTATTATTATTATTACTATTATTATTACTATTATTATGTTAATATACACACGTTGTATAAATTTTATTTTAAGGAGCGACAAAACGAAGTATCTTTGTTGCACTCTTTGAAATGACTAAAAAAATTATAACGATATCTCTTTGTAAAAACTTTGCTTCAATTGAAATCGATGTTTTCATTACTTGTTTAATATGATTCGGTATGATGTGATAAATAACCGCCCTATTTTAAACCATAGAATTCATTCCAATGATATGACATTTCTGTAAGTGTTATTACACTTAGTTGTATTTGAATTAAAAAACTGCAATAAACATAGGGAAATATTTTTGGATTTTATGATTTTGTTGACAAGAGATATTCTTTAACATTAAAAATACATTTTTTAACACTTGAAACTCAACGAAACCGCCCAATAATAAATTTGCCCAAACATTCACCAAACACCCAAAAACCCCAACTAAATTTATGGGAGGGGGGGTGCAACCGTTAATGACTTGCCTTTCGGCAGGCCGCACACGCTGAACGGGTCGCTGGCGCAGTTCCCGCTGTCCAAGTGCTGCCAGAAGCACTGGCACCTGCACGAGGCGCTGCGCAAGTGCGACTACGAGCGCGTGCGGACGAGCCCGCGGCCGTGGCTGCAGCTGCCACTGGACGCGGCGCGCGCGCGCTTCCCGGACTGCGCGCCCGAGGACATGCTGCGCCTGGGCGCCGTCGAGGCACACGGCGTGCTGCGCTTCTCGGCGCGCGGCGCGCTGGTGCTGCGCGTGCGCGACGTGGCCGGCGGCCAGCGCCAGGTGGGGCCCGCGCCCACGCCCCTTCGGGAGCTCAGTGGCGCTGCAGGGGCGTTCAAGCTCGCGCTGGAGTAACCTACTACCTGCCAGGGACACGGATGGCAAAATCTCACTGTAGGACGCGGCGCGGCGTCTCCCGGAGAGCGAAGATTCTGTAGCCAAATGTCGCGCGGGGCACGGATAGAAAAATGGCACTGTGGTCATAGTTGCCTACGTCTCGGTCGACTGCTGCGACCTTCCTCAAGGGGAAGTGTCCTGATCCAAAAGGGATGGTTGCAGTGTGACGGATTGGGGGAGATGGCTCAGGGCGTCAACTGATGCCACTGCGGTGCCTCTGACCCGAAGGACCTAGGTTCGAGCCCTGACGGTGGGAAGACTTTCGACAGTAGCTTGAGAACTAGCCCAAATCCAGTTGTCTGGAGGAGAATTCAGGCTGCTCATATTTGTAATTTTCTGTAGTTTCTCCGATTAGCACCAGGCGAATGACGGATCAGTACCTTAACAAACGGGACATACACCGCGCGCGATCTTTCCTTACTCATCCTTGTCGTATCGTTATCTCTTATTTACTCATATTTACAATTACATGCATTACACTACCGCACATCCCGGGAGACCAGTCGAGAGCTTAGAACTTGTCCGGGCTGGGGCGGTGCCCCGCTGGTGGGAGATACCTGGTTGAATAAAAACCCGCTAGCTGACAAGTAGACTTCACTACCCAGCGGGGAAAATCATCACCTACTTCCGTAGGAAAACAATGCACTCCACATACGGGACTAATGACTTAAGCAGTCGACCTGCCTGGACTAATCAATCAGGACTGCCGAAACTTTGGCAATTATGGACGCGGCGTCTCCCGCGCAGACAAGTTTCTATTGACTGCGGTCGTGGAAGATTACGCTTTCATTGAAACAATTGCTGGGTTGCTTGTATTTCGTGATTCTGGGCCTGTCAACTACTTCGGTCAGCCGCGCCTTTTAATTTCCCGGGTAGATTACAACGAGTTTTAGTTCAATGGACCATCCCCGAGCAAGGGGCCGATCCAGTTGGTCATTTTGGAGAGGGGCATCATAGATCTTTTAAAATAGTAAACTTTGTTATTATACTATATAATTATTGTCGTGTATTTATATGATACCATAAAATATTATTGTTTAAATAATTACATAATTATAACTTAAACGTTTAAATCAATTTCTCCAAATAAAAGAAGGTAACAAACGAAAACTCTAGGCCTTTTCTCGTGCGTGTGTGTGTGTGTGTGGGGGGGGGACATCGCTGGGAGATTTCTAGTGGACGCGTGAAAGCGTTGCCGGCCTACTGGATCCGTCATTTTAGGTGGGGGAATTTTCCTCAATATCACAACATATCCGTATATCAATATCCATAATATCTCAACAAATAAATCCTTTACCAATTTAGGCTGAGAAGTATATATTACCATAAGAAATATTAAAGATATTAACAATCGAAGTATTCAATGTCCTTCGTTGGCGTGGAAAATTATTAAAAAGATACATTATAATATGTGACAGACATTTCGGGGGGAGCTAAATCCCCTGGGGTGGGCCATTGCAGGTTGTGTGTTTCCAACGCGCTCCTGTTTCACCTATCGAAATCCAAAAACATTTCGACGTTTTAAAACGCCCAAAAATATTTGAGGTGATAGAATTTATTGAATCTCACCTTAATGGGAAGCTGTATAAATACACTATAACTTTTTGTTTAACCGAACTCATATTAATCAGCTTCTCTAATATTTTCTGATAGTTGTGAGTTTCAGTGAAATTAGGCTGACGGAGTTTCATGGTATGGTTTTTCTTTAGCAGCGTTTGCTCTCTGAAACTGATATATTTGCAATGCTCAATTTAAGGAAGACAAGAACATTAAAAGAAAAGAGAAAATGATTTTGTACGAGAGTTATCAACATCGACCAATAAAAAATGAAAATATGAAAGTTAATAAAATGGAGTGGTTAGGGGTTCGTTTGATAATTCTGAAAGTTAAATTTACACTCCCAATTTCTATAAATATTGAAGACTGAACGAGCTAACAAGAGACCTACCGTGACCTTCGGTTAAAGCAGCTGAATTCACTTTCACACTTATGCAGAGGAGTAGGGGATCAACATGAACAACTTATGTAATGTCCTTGTTCACACCCCCGAAATCGCCGTTGGAGAGAAAAGAAATAATTCGACTTGCATATTTATCTGAAAAATATTGCAATATAAATGCGTGCATCATGACATTTAAAATAATAAATTTGCCCTTGAGCAAATACCACCGTGTTAGTAATGTTTAGACTACATGACGCAAACAGCGTGTGGCAACAACGGAAAAATTTAAGCAGGTGGTACCTACCGCCTCACTACGTTTTCTTGTTGTTTCGTAGGCTCAAGCAGTTGTTATGGATAGGCTGTTAAATGGCTAGTTTAAGATATAAAGAGCTTATGAATTACAAGCCTTAATATTCAATTCTAATTCCATCGTTAATTAAAATCGTTTGTTAAAACCGATGAAACTAAAAATAATGAATTCTAAGTTATTTATAACAGTGCCAGTATTTCTCTTACTTTTAGCTCATCGAGTGCCGTATCGCAGTTCACAGACTCTTCATTTAGGACGATACTTCAATGAATCAGAGAACTTTGATAATGCAATAAGTATGCCACTAATAACACCTTTTGAATTTTTGTCAACCAGTGTTAAAATAATTATTTACAATGCTTTTATTTTCAAATTCGAATGTATAAAACAGTCTCCGTCAGAGGAGTCTACTTTTTAAGTCTAAATTTCTTTTCATAATTTTCTTGTTTCTTGTTTCTTCTTCTTCTTCTTCTTCTTCTTCTTCTTCTCTTCTTCCTTCTTTTCCGTCCATTTCAAGGATTAGGCAGGAATGCCTGTGGTCCGTTCATCCACTTTTGCACTTCAGACCAAAATCTCTGTCTGGGTCGGCCGATATCCCTCTTCCCTTCGGTTGGATAGTTCATCAACTAATTGTGGAATTACGATCTTCCTCCATTTCTTTCGGATATGCGCCGTCATATTGTCTGTTTTCTAAGATTCTTTCATTTTATGTTGTATATTCTAGTTCTATTACGGATATCCTCATTTCCTAAATCTGTCTTGTTTTATGCACCTTTTATACTTTCCTAAGAAATCTCATTTCTGCTGCTTGGAGCTTACTTTGCAGTGTTCTTTTTTTCATTATCCACGATTTACTTCCATACAGGAGAACTGGAGCATCCATTTGTCTTATAGAACTTCATTTTTTGGGGGGAAAGGGGGTTTTTCTTTCCTTGCTCTTGTTCTGTAGTGTTCTGTTTATTATTCCAACAGATTGATGAAATTTTATTAGTTTCATTTTTCTATGTCTTTATCTGTGTCATAACTGATGTCACAACCAAGATAATTAAAATTTGAAGTCTGGTTGATCACTGCGTTGTCAATAACTATTTTTGAGCGTATGGGATATTTACCGCAATGGCCCATAACTTTAGTTTATATATATATATATATATAACTTTAGTTTATATATATATTGAATAGCGTTGGAGATAAACTACACCATTGTTTAAGTCCCCTATTTATTAATATTTCTTCAGTTTTCTTTATGCCAGTATTTATTATAATTTTTGTCTCTTTATACATGTTTTTGATGGTTTTTGTGAGGTTTCAGGATCGCCCCTTTCGTTCATTATTTTCCATAGTTTGTGTCTGTCCACGCTATCAAAAGCTTTCTCGAAGTCAATAAAGGCTATATGGTTTTCCTTATTTAAGTATTTGTTTTTCAGTAATTCGAGGCAAATGCACAATTGCAAAAATTAAGTTTTCTTCTCCAAATTTTATATTGAATTGTTGGCGCTGAATTAGCCAATGTATAATATAATAACGGACGTATATACTATGTATAATTTTTTTATTATGAAATTATCTTTCGGCCATTAATTTATCATGATAAATTTGTACTTCGTATATCGGCTGACACCAATTCGATCTTTATTTAATTATAAAATGTTTTAATAGAGTTCAAGGAAAAGTGCACATAATTCTATTCTCTGTATTTTGTAGTTTGACTTAAATGGGATCGGACCTTCTGGAATCTGACGGTATACCGTTTTCAAATGAAAATGTGGATATTTAAAGGGTTGAGTTTAATTTATTAACAAAACTTAGCCAATACCTACACTATTAACTGAACTGGACACGCAACTATCGGGCGTGACACGCGAACTTTCTGACAACAAAAACTCTGCTGTATTTTTCTTTCTTAAATAGACACTTGAAGTCTGAATAGAAGTCTGTAGTAGGTCTGGACCACGAATGACCTTTCCTTTCTTTTCCTGGTTCTATCCTCGCCCCCTTACGTACACACAGACTTATACGCATTGCACTACCACATATGTCGGGAGCTTAAAAAGTGTCGCTTCTGGGGCGGTCCCCTACTGGTGAGCGAATCCTGGAAGAGGAAAACACCTCAAGGAGACGTGTAGGCGGGGGAAAATCACCCCCACGTCTCGCGATGAAAACACGAACCACACTTACGGGACTAACGCGCAGACTCAATCAATGGCTGTGGCGCAGGTGGAGCTGGAGCGGGAGCAGGCGTGCGCGGACGTGGTGCTGGGGGACGCGGCCCCCTTCGGCGTGGTGCTGTGCCCCTGCAACCGCACGGTGTGCGTGCGCAAGTGCTGCGGGAAGACGCAGGCGCTCGTGGTGCGGGAGGCGTCGGTGGCCACCGTCGAGCCCAGCTGCAAGGAGAGTAAGTGCTCCCCCTCACGGCCAATACTGTTTTAAACACTCCTCAGAGGCGTAGCCAGCCTTTTTCTAGGGGGAGGAGGCAACATACATTAGGCCAGACGACTTAATGTTTTCTTTTAAATATATTTTTAGATCAGACTAGTTAATGCGGTTATTTCAGGGCATTCATAGTGTGTTACAAGTTCGATTTTTAGTAATTTGTAGTGATTTTTAGCATTTTGAATGCTCAAGGGTTCAGATAAGTCTGTGTATGCAAGAAAGAAAACAAATTGCTTTCGTTTGACCGCACCAGCTTACTGATCATCTTAATATATCACTACGTGATTTGTGTTCTTGAATTAATATAAAATGAAAATCAGTAAGGCTTTTTTAAACTTAGTGTTTGTATGACACGTGGTTAAAGGATTTTATTTTTCTCGTAGGATAGCGTCACTCAGTCTATTGGCTTCGTGTCGCAACCTTTTCTACTCGCAAAATGAAATGTCACTTTTACCACTCGCATCATAAATAACGATTTTATTGGGGGTGAATATAAAATGTGTATTTATTTGTTAACTTATAGTTCATATTTATAACTTATACAATTGACATAATAAATGCCTTTTTTTACTATAGAAAATTAGGAAAAGCTATATTTTTCAAAATGTATGTGTCATTGGCTTCTGAGGGGTGGGGGTTTGAAACACCTTGATTACGCCACTGTGTGTACTCTCACTTTACAATTTGCGTCTATGTAATTATAATTTATTTTATCATCCAGTGCCCATTTGACATTCAAAAATAACTAACACATTTACATGTTTATTACACGACTGGAACATACAACAGCAAATACAAATACGATTCTATTCAACTCCCCACTTCCACAACGTTTCAGTCCGCAGCCTTCAACTTGTGGCTCAATCGCGTTGGCAAAAATTAGGATAGGTGAATATATATAATTGGGTAGACAATTTGCAAAGAAGCACGAGGAATTGTCCACATAAAAATGATAGATAATTTTAATTCCTACGCCAAAAAATCTAAAGGAAGATAACGAAAAAAACCTTGAATAGGATAGTTTTGTCACGTGAAATGAAGCAGATGATAAATTAACCAAATAGAATAACAGGCAGGTCTAGTAGTACTATTTCTTTAATGTCTCAAACGAAAGTTTCAGAATCAAGGGTGAGGTGGTGAATAAACATATACATTCTGTTCAAGGACAGATTTATATTAAGAGGAAGATGAAGAAATGAATGAAAAATAAGATTACCTCGAAAGGAAAGATCAACGAAGATATTCTAAATGGAACAATGGATTTGGTTGATCAGAATGAAATGGAAACAGTGAATGAAGTGGAAAGATGGTGTAAGGAGTTTCTGAACGCGGGTGAGAGGGCAGTTGAAGAGGCGAAGGATGTGGATTATGGTGATTGCAATTAGGAAGTGCTGTGTTAGGTTTACTAAGAAAGTAATGGACGCAAGGCGGAAGTGAGGTAAGACATACGGAGGGGTTAGGAAACTGGATATTATGTGTCTCGGTAGAAGTGAGGGGAGTAACGTATAGGAGATCTACAGGACAGAGAAATATGGTTTTTAGAATAGATTGGAAGACAAAGAGAATATTGTTCGAAGAAAAGTAATCATATAGATAATCCAACTAGAGTATATAACACGGTAGACATTGTTTAATGGGAGATCTACCAAGAAAGTTACAATCACATATGAATTGGTGAAAATCAGAACTGTATTCGTGACATTTTATAAATTCTGAGAAAAACGTGTTTATTTTAGACTATATTTCAGTTGCAATGTAATTTCGTAGTTTTAATGAACAGTATAAATGCTATAGTTTTAATAATGAAACATAGCACCACAACTTTACAATAGTACTGAATTAAATATACAGTTTTCTCCGAATTTATACAATATCACTTATACCGTTCTGTTTTTCTCCCATTCATATGGGTACAGTGGAAGAGGATAACCAACCAATGGACAGAAAACATTGATCTCGAGTATTGTTATTATTATTGAAATTATCAATGTAGGAATAGATGCCGTGAATTAGATGAATGTGCAAGATGTGTTGAAGATAAGGATTACACCAAATAACTCGGGCTGTGAAGGGCTTATTTTAACAGATTGTTAAATGTTATGGGATCACAGATTAAATCAATCGGTGAGGAATATTGTAAATAATGTACAATATCACAAATTCAGGAACTTCACCACACAAGGCAATTATTGTCTTTCGTAGTGCTGAAGTTCATGATTTACTAAAAATAAGAACCGGTTTTGATGGTCAGTGAAAATTTGCGTTGTCTCTATGTGTTGTATAGTACATCTAAATTACTTATATGATACAAATCAAATTCAAAACCCATTTAAATCGTCAAGTGAGTTATTTCATTTAAATTTTGTATTTATCTTTCATTTCAATATATCTCTCCTGCGTATGTAAACCGCTCCTTTTCTGCTTCAGTGACTCTCCAGGAGATAGGCTCGTGGAAACTCAAAGTGGAGCCCTGGCCGACGCCGCTGGCCGACGGGGCCAAGGAGGGCTTCCTTACGCTGCCGGGCTCGTTGCCCACGGGCTGCAGGTGGGGCCTCACGCGCGCGCCGCCCAGCTGGGCCACGCCCCACCCGGGCAAAGACTTCCGCGTGTTCAGCGTGGGCACCGCCGTCATCAACACCAGCCCAGAAAAGCGCACTGACGACTTTTGCGTGGACGGAGAGCGCTTATCCAATGGATCGCTGGTGAGTTCGGTTGGTTCCTTATGTTTTACACTATGAGAGATGGCTCAAGGCAACTGACGTCTCTGCAGTACCTGTGACCTGGAGGACCTAGAATTAGAATTCCGACGGTGACAGGATGTTCGACACCAGCTTGTCAGGTAGGTCGGATTCAGCTGCTGTCTTGAGAATAATTCTGGCGGCCGGCTGATCAGCACCAGGCGAATACCCTACCCTACGGATTATGGACCTCTAGCCAACTTTTCTTCTTCTTTCTTGCGCTATCGTCACTCCTTACATGCACACACACTTCAATGCATTACACACATTCTACGAGTCAAGTCGGGAGCTTAGAACATGTTCCGGGTGGGGCTGTGCCCTGCTGATCGGAGAGGGAAAACCTGAATGGGAAAACTCCGCAAGCCAACGCGTCGTGTAGATCGGTGCCGGATATCACCATCCAGCTGAGATCACCACCACATCCTGAGATAAAAACAAGCACTACACTTGGGGAAATAATAACACAGACGTTGACGCGCCAGGAAAGCTGAAATAAGTAGTGAATTCAGGATTCACTTTCCCTTCAATTCTTCTCTCGTGTTTGGTTTAATTTTCCACGTCATTATTTTTTCTAGTTTGGAACATACATTAATTTTTCTGTCCTGAATTTGAATGCTAAAGGGTGTTCGAATGATTTGAATTTTAAAAAATAATGTTCTGGCAATAATAAGCATAGGAAAGTCAGAACAAGAGACTTTCCGAGATTAAGCCGTTTTGAAAGAATTATTATATTAATGGTGTTATGAAAATGTAATTTTGGCTCATGTAGAGAGAAACTCCGTGGAATATCACTAACTTCCGTCCACTTTACTTCCCAGTCTTATTGTCCAAAAATACAATAATATTCGAGGCAGTTGCCTTCATTTTAGCATTCCGTGGCCATTGCAGTCTTCTACCAGATGCCATCACAGTGGCGACCACTATTATTCTCTGAGCTGTCTCTATAATTCTCATTCAGCAACGCCACTGATGATGCGTGCCACAGTTGCAGGCGAAACTTATGGACCAGTCTCCGTTGGACCACGGCCTACAAACATGAAAAGGTCTAATAATATAGAGAATCATGAAAGCCAACATTGTTTGTTAATATTTTAATGTTTTTGTTCAGGACTCAAAAAAGGAATTACTTCAGTAAAAGTTGAAAAATTAAAAAAAATAAATATCAATGATACGTAACACTTAACTAACATCCCCTACTCCTATGTAACGCAGCGTAACGCTGCCTCCGACACCCCCCCTCTGTTTAGCGTTATGTAATTTACGGGCCACCCCCTAATGTGTCATCAGGCTGTATGATGCGAAAGATTCTATTAATAACTTAAAGAACGGACTTAATAGTGTTATAGAGCAGTAGAAATTAGGGTATCATTACGGGAGAGCGCATATTTTGTAATTGTTTTTTGAGGTATTTTTAAACGGACAAAATTTCATGTATATTCCGGTTTCGTGAACTTTGATGAGTGCAGTAAAAAAGTGTAGTGGGAAAGTTGGTTAGATAAGAGCTTCTCAGACCCAATAATTGGACCCACCGAAGTTGCTTCCGCTTCACTCGCCTTTCGCTAGACTATAGTCGATCGTCCCCGAGCGGCTGCGCTTTTTCTAGAGGCACACTCAAGAAACAGGTCACACTGTACGCGCATATAAGAGGTGGGCTTCTCCCTTTAGCAGCCCTGGGCTAGATTCAAGGTATCCTCCTCTCTCGACGAGCAGCGGACCAACCAGTGGCCGTCAGTAAGCTCCGGGCCAAGCCACGCCAAGTGAGCGCCCCTCTTGGGCAGCCGTGGGCCTGATTGTTGGTGAGGAGCATAGTTCTCCTGAGTGTATGTACGTGTGAATGCGCATTCGGCCCTCTGGTGCTGGAGCCAAGGCCCGCCAAGTGCGCCGATCGCTTGGCCCTGCCCCGGAGGAGCCTCGCTCCCACGTGTGTGCGCCTGCGCAGTCGCCGAGCGTCGTGTTCTGCGCCGACCCCATCCCGGTGCCGGTGGTGGACCGGTGGATGGCGGCGCTGGGCGCGGTGGGCTCGCTGGCGCTTGCCGCCGCCGTCGTGGTGCACGCGCTGTTGCCGGAGCTGCGCGCCACGCCCTTCGGCCGCGCGCTCATGACCTACTCTGTCGCGCTGCTCGCCCTCGCCGTTGTCGGCCTCGGCTGGACGCTCAACCCCGACGTCAGCAGCTTCACCTGCCTCTTCAACAGTGAGTACAGCGGCGTCGGGGCGCGCCGCGGCTCAACACATTCTCATTCTGAAGGACACTGATTTTATCCTGTGTGATATCGGTTTTTTTTGCTGTTAAAAGCTGTATTTTTTTTTATTCCCCAAAGCTACCCGTATACTTGCGTACTTATTTAGAAAGGCCCCCGGCGCCAAGATACAAGAAATAGGAACTAATCTCATTTTCAAAGTGGGATTCGATCCTACGTTTCTTCAGATACTGAGTCGAAGAGCCTACCTTCAAATACACGCGGAGTTATTTTAGGCGTTATTAGTTTATTTCTCTAGGGAAAATCATTTGCGTAGTGGGGTTGTGTACTAAAGAAACGAATGCTTCAAGAATGTCAAAATAGAAAATCAAGACGGCAAATTCGCTGCTTATTCTAGGAGTCGCCGAAAACGTTTCGGCGAGAGCGCAGGCTTCCGCGGCCGGAGCCAGAATGTTCTTGGCTGTCCGGTAGACGCCGCGTCCAAGCCACAGGCGCTGACGCTTCGGCCGCCGTTCCGCGACCCTCCTCGTAATGCCGTCAGCAGCTATTTCTTGGACTAGGCGATTCCCAGACAGCCAAGTTCATAATGTTTTGGTAATTGGAAAATTCGTTAGGCAGAGCTCAAACCTGAAGTGTAATGTTCAGATGTAATTGTAAGGTAATAAATGTTGGCTATTATTCGATTTGATAAAAGAAAGAAACGAATCCTTAAGTTCTTTGCTATGCTATCACATACGAAACAAACAAATTCGTTTTCGGCTGCGTTTCAGAAACATTACATTTGTATGTACTAACAACACCACTTCCCTACAACAATATTTTTGCTGGATACAATATATCCAAGTAAATGATACAATTAACCACCAAGTAAAGAATGTTATTTTCTAGAACATAATTTCCTGTCAGCCTGAGATTTTTTCGTAGTTTTTGAGCAAGGGAATCAAGATAGAAACTTGGAATTTTGGATGTCACTACGCATGGTCAAAGCATATGACACTAAAAAGGTTTTTTTTAGAAAAAATGACTCCACGAGCAATAAAATATTAACAACCGAATATATAAAATATAGTAAAATACGACCGTCAGGGGAGGGCCAATCTGAAGCCCGACCTCCCTGCTCCAGTGGCAGAGGCTGGGAAGATAGCCCTACAGGCGGAATGCGCGCACCTACGTGTGAGTTTTAGGAACACAATTAACACTATATTCGATGCACATTCTCCAAGAACGCAGTGACTAGACGACTGCAACAAATACCACTGGAAGAACATTTGATTCGTGCATGGGACATGGGAACCAGAAGCAACAATCTCAAATAACACAGTGTCCTCTGGTGGTCGCTTCAGGATCCACCTAAAATCCTCTAGAGGTCCGCCAAGGTTAGAAGCTATTACTGGTAATAAAGAAAAGTTTAAAATTCAAAAAAACGCTTAAATTTAGAAGTAACCCTGCCCATTACTTTTCGAATGGTAATTAAAAAAAATTCTATTTGTAGATTCTTTCCAGAAGTGAAATAGAATTCCGATTCATGACTAGTAGAAATTATTAATTCCGCACTGCAGATCTGAGGTTTTGGTTGTTTGGACGAAAAACAGAATGCATGTGATATTGATGTGGAACTAATGTGGAAGAAGTGTTATTAAAGCGTTCCATCGAAAAGGTAATATTTATTTTACATCTCTATTGCGTTGTTTTCTCTGTTTCAGTAACATGGACACAGTATTTTCTGCAGGCGGCCGCCTTCTGGTTAAACGTTATGTGCTATGACATTGGCATCGCATTCAGGTAACGAGTGGTGCTCAAACAGCACATACTTTCTGGCATTATTTCTTTCGGACATTTTCGAAAATTCAGAGCGTTCAACGTAACTCAGACGCATGGAAGAGCATCCATGGACACAGAACTCCGATAATAATGAGCTTTTATAAGAGAATTACATCTCAGAGATGCAAAAAAATACTCGTTTTTAAAACTAAAATTATAAAATTCAGTAGATTATTCTAGAAAGATATAAGTATGCGTAAATAAATCGTGCGTAACTTAAATTGAAAACACCGTGCATTCAAGACCTTACTTCGGCCGTAAACTTACGAAATCATTCTGAACATTCTCTTGCGATTTTTGTATATGTAGATTTTCCGGGTCTCTCTCCTCCGTAAGGGCGATCAAAAACGCACAGAATTCAGAAGTTGAGTACATTGCCATGATTATGTTCAATATGCAACACCATTCGAAGTTCAGTCCAGTAAGGAGCTGTTTTTACATATAGAGCAATGATATCTTATATTACTTAAGTCTGGTTTCTTTTCTTGTTTCATGTTTTAGATGCATTGCCCCACAAATATGTTTAAACCTGTTTAATTAGAGGGGGAACATACCTGAGGGTAAAAGAATAGCAAGCCGACGCGTTGTTCTGTTTCATTGTTCAATTTCTCTGCTGGGCTGGCGCGTTTTACGCTCGTACGATTAACTCACTTCGCATCAAACTATTGTGTCACCGCTTGCGTGGTAGTTTTAAATAAGAACACGCGCGATAACACCAACCTTTCCTGGATTTTCTTCTTGTCTTCTGAAACGAAGTCTCGACTTGGAGTTCGTCGCAATATGATCCCCTACGTGTTCATCACAATTTTCCTACATGTTCCCAGATGGTCCCCCCAATGCTCTATAAAATGTTCTTCAAAATCTTCCACTCATACACACAGCATGTTCCCCGCACTTATTAATCTGAAAATCAAACCGAATTTTCAGTCAATTAAATTAAGTGTTTTTCGTTACGAAATGCTTTAACGAACGTTACTGTAGCGTTCCCTTTCATGGCGTATTAACCGGGAAGTTCTGAATAGCTCGAGTACTCAGAAGAGCAAAAAATCTCTGTAATAGGAAAGACTGAAACATTTATCACAAAAATTGTAATATTAAAAAACAGATCTTTTTAAACCCGTATTTTAAAATTTAAAACATAAGGCTTCATTCTGGTTCACAAAATCAAGAGTTTCTGGCTATCTATCCGGCCTACGGAATGACAAAACCATAAAAATATGTAATAGAACGTCAGAAGTTCAAAGTAGAAAAGACATTTTGAAGATTACGGCATAAAAACACAGTCACTTCGACTTGTTTCAAGATTCTAGGATGCATAGTTTTCGAGTTCTGCACGATGGTATGCGTACTGCGGCTTAATGTGTTTTTGCGGTTTGCAGATGCGCTGATTTATCCAAATATGCCGTAATCGAAACATACGATTTTCGATCTAAATATATTTGATAAATCTCTGAGGAATAATTACCTAACTAGCCGTAACACACTTACGGATTTTTGTGTTCGTGTTTTTTTTATAAAAGCATCACCCATAACTTACGTAACGCAAATTTGGAATACGAGTACTTTAAATGTCCCCTCTAACGCACTTGTAACGCGCTTTTGAACCGTCTTAAATAATTATGTAACTCTTGCGACAACATCCTCCATTTACAAAAAGTAAAAATAAATTATATAACAGTAAAAACAATTTGTATTAATTTTATTTGTGTTATATTAAAATAATGTTAAAGATAGAATGAGATTGTTGTCGACGCTGCCTGCACCTAACAATAACATTCAGAAACATATTGGAGTGAAGGAAGGACGCATAGACGAGGACATTTATGACAGGACGTTAATATACCGTGATGGATGATGCATGTGCGAAGGCCTACAACGCCAATTTAATTGCATTTTAGAGTAAACAATAGATCTACTTTGAATATTTTCTTCGTAAAGTAAATTTCACTGAAGACTAATTAAACTGAACTAATCTGCACTAATTACATTAAACTGAAGACTAATCTGCACAGTATGTTTTTGTCATTTTTTATGTTCAATAGTCTTTTTTTTTTTACAATGAAAATAGTATATTACAGGATACTATGTAAATTTATTTTATTTTAATGTGATCTGAATTTCTGTGAGGGGAAAAGTGATCCAATACGTAAATAAGTTTGCATCTCTTTTGGCCAGAAAAGCGCGCGGCTTGACCGCTCATTGCAAGTGAGAGTGAGTGAGCGCGTGGGTGCGCGCGTGGTTGCGCGCGTGGGTGCGCGCGTGGGTGCGCGCGTGGGTGCGCGCGTGGGTGAGCGCGCGGTGTGCTGGTGTGCGCAGCTCGTACAAAGGCGCTCTGGACAAGACCGGCAAAGCGGCGCGGCGCCGCTACCTGCGCTACGCGCAGTACGCGTGGGGCTGCCCCTTCCTCACGGTCACCCCCGTCGTGGCCTTGCAGTTCACGCACGCGCCAGGCAGCCCCTGGCGCCCCATCGAGTGGTTCATGAAGTGCCACTACTCCAGTAAGTGGGGGACACTTTACTAGCGAGTGGTTGAGATTTTCTGCCAGTGAGGTTTTGGTAAAAGAATTTATTTGCGGATTTTGTTAGAAGTTTTTGATTAACATTTTTCTGGCTTTCCTTAATTGATTAAATCATTATGAGGGGATGGTTACATGTTTTGCATTATGGAAAATTTGATGGATAGTTTCTTTTAGCATTCGAAAATACCGTGTGATCGAGTCATTTTGTCTTGGTCAAAGGGGGATTTGCTAGTTGCAGAGGCACCGGTTTGTTGCAGGTTCTCTCGTGCAATTGCTGTTTCTCTACGCGCCTCTTCTTCTATTGTTCCTTTTGAACTGTGGCATCTTCGTGTGGACGGCTTATCGAATCCGAGTGTTGCAGAAGGGGGCCGATATTTTGACCGACAGTGACTCCAATGACGAATCGCCATATCCTCCAAGGAAAAGGTATGTGGCATTTTAAATTTAATACGGATTTTGGTGTATACCTCTCTACCGATTTTACTTCTGCTTTAATACAGTTTCAAAAGAAAACTTATTTAGTACATTTAATTTAATTAATAAATATAATTGAATTAACAAAATTAATTGAATTAATAAATTTGTCTCTTTATGGATGCAGATTCATCTTTCCGATATCTATTATCTCTTTCTCATAGAATGTAAAGAAATTCATAAAAATAACTATAATATAATAATTTCAAAATGTCATAAATTTTTATATCAAATATGTAAATTTTATTAATAAATTATTTAAAAATCTATATTACAGCACAATAATATTAGAATTTCCCCTAAAATAACCTTTAAAATTGGTCAGAAATTGCAATTTCTCAATGAAGAGCATATATAAATTAACAATTGAATGATAAATTGTATGTGTGAGCAAGTTTGTATTAAATCGGTTTCAGTTTGTTATTTTTCCTAACATATTTGAAATGTGAAAAGAGACTGATAATACTTTTAAGAGCGAGCAGATAATATTAACATATACTATCGTGATAGTAAATAGTTTTATTTACTTTTCCATGAAAACGCAGGCTTTTAGAGGGTAAATACCTGAAATCGTGTATATGTGTATTAAAATAATTTTTTTAGAAACCCACAAGAGATATCGGTTACGTATGGGAGCGTGTAGAGGCCGCTATATTTTGTTTTTGTTTTGCTCGTAGTATTGCATCACTCGGTCTACCGGCCTCGCGTCGCAACATTTCCTACTCGAAAAAAAATTGTCACTTTTACCACTCCCATCATAAATAACTCTTTCAATCATGAATATAAACAAATTTTAATGTTAACTAATCATCGAAACCTCCGTGACCATTAAAATAGGTTAAGCGGAGTTTTGGGTTTACTCTTTAATATTGCATTTAAATTTTTGATGAATATTTACTGGTATTTTGAATCTTTTGAATTGATGGCTCGTTGCTGCAGAACTGCTTCCTCTCGAATAATTCAACTATAATTTGTATCAAATCTTGTTGTGGGTGACAGATAAATTGCCACGATATTATTTAAAAGGATTTGAAAATGTGTAACTTTTGTGGTCAATCAAACCTAAAATCGTGGTCAATCACACATAAAATCTCGCCCACACTCCTACTCTCCCCGTACCTACTCGTCCTCCGCTCTCCGATCCAAACTGAATGAGAATGCGGCCGCAGATGGCGCCGCGTTAAATAAATAGTTGGGGCCTGCACCCCCACCACACAGGTTTCATGGGTTAGGCTCGCCTGCTGTCAGCAAGCAAGGGCTCGCTAGCTAGCTTCCTATGAGATTATTGCCTTCCTCAAGACTCGCGCTATAGCAATCCCTAAGGATATTTTTGACTCTGCCACGCTAGCCAGAGTACAAAACCAGGAAGCGTGTCCCTACAAGATTTTGTGTTTGGAGGTCCCTCGGTTTCTAAGGTCTGTGTCACACGAGCGGTGCGTTGGCGCGCGTCACTTAACACTAATTACGTCAGCTGCGTCGTACGCTGTTGCCAACGCGAGTCGTCTAGCGCATGTCACCACAAGAGCTGTCGTGTGTCGTTTCGCATAAGAAACAGTGTTAATCTACGACGCGCGTTAGGCGACGCACGTCGACGCAACGCTCGTATGGCCCCGGCCGAGCGCCCTCTGCTGCCGCGCCGCAGGCTGCTGCTGTTCCTGAAGCTGCTGTGGCTGATGGGCGTGGGCGAGGCCGTGCTGGAGCTGGTCGCGTGGTCGGTGTCCGCCACCGCCCTGTGGTACACCGCCAACGTGGTGGACCTGTCGCGCGCGCTCTGCGTCTTCTGGCTGTCGTGCTGCAAGGGCACCGTGGGGCGCCGCCTGCGCGCGCGCTTCCGCGACGGCCTGTGCTGCGAGGCGCTGCGCAGGGGCAGCCGCGTGGGGCCCGACCCCGACCCCGACCCCGCCGTCGCCGCCACCGACTCCACCGCCGTCTTCGGCGTCTCCGGCACCGACCCCGCGGCACAGGCAGGAAGCGCTCTTACATCTCATATCTAGATGTTCTATCTCGATAATTCATTGTATTCAATTGATTATGCCTATCTATCAATCTAATTTCGGGGGGAGGAGGGACTGTGGAAATCTCTTCAACAAGACGCTGAAGAGCCGTAGAGCCATCACTCTTCAGCAGTACAAAATTTCACTCTCTAAAAATCACAAATCTTTTGTTCCACAGTGGAACCGCAATTATCCATTACTCCAGATGGTGCGAGCTATAGTACTTTGAGATGCTATTTACGTTCGACCTTGGCTGCTATTATTTCCTCTTTTTCCTTCTTCTTGACAGTGGTAGTGATATCTCTCTTTATTGTCGTCCACATTTCCTTGGTACGTGGCATTAATGTCACCATGTTTACAGATGTAACATTGCTTCCGACCTCCCATATGATACAACGTCTTAGCGTGTTCCATCTCGGGTAGAAAATTCATGGCCATCTTGGGTCGTCTAATTCATGGCTGCAGTAAAAGCATACCGCATCATCTGCCTTTCTGAATCTCGTCAGGTATGGATTAAATCATGCATGTCCTCTGCATACCTGAGGTAAATGGTACGACACGAACCCATATTTGCGGTGCATCAAGTTTTCCTCGGCTTCTTTGCAGTCTTGCTGCGTTCGCCGTCCGTGGCCATCTTGCTCTTGGAAATAAAGGTAATTTTTTTTCTTTCTACAGAGAGCAGGGCAATGGGTGGAACGTGCTCTAGCTGTAGGTCAGCTCTTCCGGGTACCGTTCTATAAGTTGATATCTTGAATTGGGCTCCATTACTTTGAATGGTATGCATTTTTGTCCTCAAATTATTGTTTTGGAGGGCTTCTACAATTAGGAGCGACGTTAAATATTTTCGAGAGATTGAAACTCTTAAGAACCTTCCTCTTCTTCTCGATGGGACCCGTGGTGTTCATCATTAAGTTTGTGAGTCACGCTCTTTCTCCGTTGGTTCGGTAACGTCGTCACTCTTCTCAGGGTGTCATTGGCAATGACTTCTAGAATGGCAAGTGTTTCCACCGTTGCTACTCTTATCACATCGTCTATGTAAACCACTACTGAAACGTTTTGCCCAGAGGAGTTTTATGCCCATATGTCTGTCGTTCATGACGTTCCACAAGAGAGGACCCAGTTCAAAACCCTGTGGGTCACTGCAGAGCATTTCGACTTCTGTAGGTTCGCCTTCGTGGATTGATTTTCGCTCTCTAAGTAACTATTTTATTCTTCAGGTACTCAGGGGTGTTCTTCTTTATCAGTGTGTTGATAATTTTCTCCCATTTGGCCGAGATAAAGGCATTTGTTCCTTTTTTGGCTTCTCTTTCTGTTTCTTTGACTTTTCATGGGCTCGACTGTCGATCTACCTTTTCGAAAACCATTTTTTCTTTCCGATAAACTGCTTGTTTCCCTGTGTAGTCTTTGTAATATCAGATCCGCGAAGGCCTTTCCCAGGTTGCTTATTTCTTAGGTTGGTCTACAAAATCTAATCATGGTCATACGTCTATAGACATGCTGAGATTTACTGCCTTTTTAGAAAAGAAGATTTTTTTGCCCTCAGAAAAACGTTTTCCCTCGAGCAAGCACTATATGATCTCAGGATTAATTACGGTTTGACCACTGACTTCCCAATTTCGGTGTGTATCCCGCCGAGTCTTGTCCTGGGACCTTTTTGTTCGTAAGGGTACTGTCCAAGTTTTGTTGTTCTTCAGGGGGCCATTTGCTCTTCTGCTATTTCACGAGGGGAACGTTTTACTCTATGCACATATTTATGCCACATATTTTTATCTGTAATGAACATAATAGTAGTGCCACCTATTCTTCCATAAATTTTCCTAAATTACAGTATAATTCACGCACTTTTTCTTGAGCTCTCCTGTCGCTAAATGTGAGAGGAGTGTGGAGTTATTTTATATCGACGGAATATTATTGTATCATGAGGATTTTTTTGTTATGAAATGTAGATGTGGAATATCAATTGATTCTAGTGTTTGACTAATTCCATTATTGGTAAAATCTTCGCGCTTTATCATATAAAAATATTTTTTAATTGAAAAATATAAATATAATAACTATTTTGTTTTATTTTTATGATTCACTGTTTCTTTACTCGGATGCTTTTTTACTCTTTCTCATATGCTTTCTGCACTTATTTCACCAGACACCCAACTCGGACACAGCCGCTTCGTCTTGGAGCGCCAAATCGCCGCAGGGCGCGCGAGTGGGCGCCTCCGCCCCCCCGGAGGCCAGCGGCGCATCTCCTCCCAACGGCTTCTTCAAGGGCGCTTCCTCGCGAGGCGTCGCCGCCAAGGAAGCGGAAGCAGACGGCGAACCTCCGCCGGGCGGCATCGAGATGAAGGTCCTCTCCACCACGTCCCTCTGACGCACACCGCCGGGACACAAATGTGCTACTGGTTTCTGATAGATCTCTTAAACTTAGACTGTTTAAAAAAATGTTTTTTAGAAAAAAAACGCATTCTGGCTGGTTTGATGTAAGGGTGTCGCAGATTCTGTTTGAATTTAAATATGGGAACCTGTTGACCGCCATAAAAATTGAGCGGAGCCTATTACTTCTTATTAATGGAGCTTATCAAAGTAATAAATTACTTAAATATGACAAAAAAAATTTATAAAATTATCTTAATTTGTATGAAGATTTCATAAGACACGAGAATTTTAATCGTGCTGAATTCGATATATTAGTATTAAATTAATATTAACTTGAGTAGTTAATGTTATGGCATACCTTGCATGAAGTAGTTTTTTGTCATATTTTTCGTATTTATCATTGAAGATGAAAAGCACAAAGGAGATAGTGCAAACTCCTCAAGCTAGAAGCAAACGCTTAAGAAACGTTAAGAAACTTTGCCAGTCGGTAAAATACTTCGAAAACGTTATAATAATAGTTTAGTTTAAAATGAAAATGATTTTAGTTTAAAATGAAAACATTAATTGACGTCTCAATACTTTTCTTTTAAAGAAAACAGGAATCAATTTTGGTTTCTATGAAAATCGACTAATTTTAACTTGCGTAATCAAAATTATAAGTGTACTTAAAAACATTGATTTATTCCTGAATTTCAGTAATTCTTATCTGCTTAAATATATCAATCTATTTTATGTTATACGTAAGTACTTGAATTTAATTTAAGAATAATATAGAACATTTTCATCAATTAATGTTATACATTTTGATGTGAGTATTCAAAGACTTGGCTGTCTCGGGAATCCGGGAATTAAACCCGGATCTTCTTCTATATGCCCAGTCTCTCCGTATACCGGGTCCGAACCCGAATTTTGACGGAATATGCCCAGTCTCCCTGAATTTCTGGTGATCCATGTTCGATTCCCTGCAGAGAAAGTCCACTCTTTGAAAAGTTAAATTATACTTAATAACAATTACTCCATGCTTTGTGTCTATGCGGTTGCAACGAGAAACGTATTCCCCCGTAATTTAAAACTTACAACTGTGTCCAGGAGGTGAAATGAATAATCAATTGATATGACAACTCCAGTATTGTCATATTATGCCGGTGTAAGTAAGATTCAATGACATTTAGAAATATAACATCGTAAAAAATTATGCGAAATAAATAGATCGTTTCTCAATCAAGTATGTTTCGAAATATAGATTAAATATTTCTTTGTTCGTTTAAATGAACTGAATAAAAATTAAAGGCTGTTTGATTTTTGTGAGAATTTCTAATTTATTCACTATTATAATTCATTGTTGGAATAAACATTTTGTGTTTGTTTCATCCAAAGTTTTTTTCCATCCTGAACACACGCAACGTACCACAGAAACAAATATTGAGTGTTTAAATATGGATATTTGGAAGAAAGTGGAAGAACTATATATTAAATACTTTTACACTATATTCTTAAAAATGAAGGTTTAGTTACGTAATATGGTAGTTTTGCGTTTTTTCTTTGTCTCTGAATTGAGAAAGGTTTTTGTGAAATTTCCCCGAATATTTGACTGCTGATGACAAGTTATTCAGCTCGAATTCAGCTCAGTGTAGCAAATATTTCAACGAGGATTTTGTAGATTTCTTGATTCATATTGGGCATAAAATAGTTTAAATTAATGAACACACATATTCACAGATAAGCACACATCAAAACGAATTGTTGCATTTCAATATAATATTTATATTGTATTTTTATATAATCTGAAATTTCAATCAGTCAGCGATATTATACCACATAGCAGGAATGAATACGTAAAAAAACAGCATTATTGTAGATCCGTAAAACTACAGGAAATATGAAAGGAAAACCTGACACACATGTCGCAACGTGACGTCGGCGTACAGCAACGGCAGTCTTATCGCGTTAATTGGCCGGATTTCCCTGACAGAAAAAACGATTTATATTTGATGAGCTTTTCGAGTGTATACCGTTGATACTAGACTTGTTGCCAACTGTATTTCCAAACTGGTTATTTTTGGAAGTAGTACAGCTAGTGGGTCTTTTCCGTACTAAGGAAATGTTAATGCGACAATACGAGCTGAGGCAGTAGGAGCGCACAATAGTACATGAGTCAGTCACTTTTAAATAGTTGTATCATATAATCACATCTTAATACTTTATCGGCTCCAAAGTTCCGCTTTCGCGGACTATGCCAGAACGTACTTTGGTGAACGCTTATCACGACAACGTAATTTAAGCCAATGTGAACAAATCAATGTTGAAACATTTAGAAGTTTTTATTATTCTTGAAACACGGAATGTTTTTAATTCATTACTTATTAACATTTATATCAAAGATGGCATTAGATACGTTTTTAAATATTATTCCTTGATTTGCTACGTAGGTTTGTTCTGTCCTGGTTTGGACATCCTGTTGTTGTCAAGTATCCTGCTGTTTAAACGTTCTTGCTCAAGTTTTGGTATGCTTCAGCTACGACACTGTCTTGGATACGTTTGATTTACAAGCCCGAGATAACGTTCAGGTAATAATTCTGGCCGATATTTCACAATCGCTGGGGCAGAATCTGCAGCTGCGCTTAACACTTCAGGATGAGGGGAGTTGTGCAGAGCTTCTGTTGAGGTGCGCTTGAGTCATCAACGCCCCTATTTTGCGACTATGTGCGACAGAAGAACATGCCCATTAAACTACATCTTATATATTGGATAATACAAGGGAGTTTGAAAATAAAATTGAAATTCAGAAAATGACTTTAAAACATTAAACAACAAATGTGACTGATATGTGGCTGGGAAAACAACTAGAAAAAATAACTCGGTTCTTCTTTTTTCTTTTATGTTCCTTATGATAATGTTTTAATTATCCGGTTTGAGTAGAATGTACTTTTCAATTGAAGAAAATTCCAAATTCTGGCGTCCTGTGAAGTCAACAAATGAGAAATTTTACATTATTTTTCAAAATTTCTTTTACATTAGATGATAGTAATCATTTAAAACGTTATTCATAATTGTTGGGATGATTGAATAGATTAAATTAAATTAGATTCTTCTTGAAATGTGCATATATCAGATTCTGAAATTTCTGTAAGTTACGCCATAGAGCTTACTGTTAAATCTATCGCGAAATACCTTTTGATTTTGCTTGTTAATGAATTTTCTTTTCCAAATCCTTGCTGCTTTCCGAACGTGACGTCTTATCACTCGCTCGACATCTGTCGGCCACGAAACTCTCGCGAATTAGTTCGTAGTAATGCTGCTTGGGAGCTCTCTCCGTACAGCGATCTGTTTGCAGTTTGCGCTGCCAGAGTTCGTTTGGTTAGCGGCTGTAGGCTGCCGGATACTGATCAGAAGGATAATAGAACTTTTTAAAACTATAGCACTTTTTAAAGCTGACGCCAAACACCGAACAAATGTTTACTCAGAAGTAAAGTAATAAAAACCGGATCCCAGCATTATGCGGGGGAAGATCTCCGCCCCCTCCTGAGGAACAAACAGCACTACACTGAGGGGGCTGATGGCCTCAGTATTTGTCAGGCCCGGAATCGTCAATCAATCGCCATGAAATTGAACGCATATAGCGAAACGTCAATTAACAGAGATTCCGTGATACTTGTTTAGAAAGTCTGCCTATGCTGCCTTCATTTGAGGGCGGGAAGCCCGTGCTTGCGATCGGTGCTCCCCACATTCCTACAGAACTCACTTATTACGAACTTTTCCCGGACAATCAAAAATTAATACCATACCGAAATACATTCAATAGAATCTCCTAAATAAATTAGCATAAACAACAATATTAACACGAACCACAAGTTGGTTAAAACATATTTTTGAACATGAATGTTAATATTAAAGGTGTGACAAATATTAATTTGAATTTCACCGACTGATGTGCTATCAATAAGGTTCTTCGAAATATTAAGAGCTTCACCTTTGTCAAAATTCACCATCGTCACTCTTGAATGAGCTAAATTAGTATTTTGCCAACTACATCCGTATCTGAGAATTTTCTTTGAAACCTCAACTTTCTTGTTTTTACTCTGATAGCTGTATCCTCCTGCTACGACGCAGGACTCTCAGACATTGTGTCGCTTAGTGCTAAGAATATCTGCTCCTGTGTTTGCCAAAAGATATACCCATAACGCTTAGAGCAAAGCCCAGTATACTCTTTGGATTTAATTGCAAAAATTTGTGATATTTCAATGACTCGAGGGGAAGGTATCTTTCCAACTGTTTAAGCTGTGCATTTATCTGATATGTGGTTTATAAATATATGTCGTTTGTTACTCTATCATTCGGACGTAAAATTCAATTTTTCCGATATAATTCAAACCATCCTTTTGCAACAACAAATACTAGAGATTTGTTTTCGTTTCTGGAATACGCACAATGAGCAAGGTTTTTTGTACTTTATGTCTTGTTTAGTAATGTTTAATAATTCTCCTACATGCTCTTTAAATGCCTCGAACTTGCAGCATTAGGAAGTTTTTATCACACGGATCTTTCACAAATGCCGTCATCTGATTTTGCGTAAAGGCTTGGAATTTTTAGGTTTGTAACCTATATTTTTTCGCTTTAGGAAAGCGACAAGCTTTTTAAATCTGAAATGTGAAACAATTTATTTGTAACATAAATGTGGAAAATATAAATACATTTGTTGTGTAAAATAAGTTCAAACTTGCAAATGTCTAAGTTAATTTGAACTTACAACTTTCATTTTATCAAGAATCTGATTCTACTGGAAGCTCAGCGATTTTGAAAAATATTCTTCAAATTTGCGGGATACTTTCAATGAAGATCCCAAAATTATCTAAAAAATGGCTCTAACTTTATTCTTTAAAAACGCACGTAACAATAGAGTGGAATTCACATATATGGATGTCAAATGTTCGATATTCAGGGTTAATTACGAATTTTCGAAAATTGTAACAGTTTACATCTTTTGTCTTCCCAAAATTTCAATATTGAAGAGAAAGATTTCTTCTCTAAATGAAAATTGCTCTCCACAATTTGTTCTGTAATTAATGTCAGGTATGTTTTCTTGAAAATTGTAGAAGTGTCCCGCAATTTTGAGTGAAATGAGAAATATATTAAAAAATATTATAAACAGATTTTTCTCAAAAATATCTCACTTTTTGTCTTTAAGCGTCTCGTACAGATAGTTTAAAATGCACTCTATAAGATAACACAAAGACCATTTTGATGTATTCTTTTGTTTTTGAAAAAAAACAATACAAAATCGTAATTTTTTTATATCTCTCTCGCGTCGTTAGTATTTACATGACCGGGTAATTGTATACATTATTATACTTGTGTGAATTATTAATATTATGTATCATAAAGTTTCTTAAAAACGCAATAGTTTTCTGTAAAAATGAGCTCGAAACATTTTCAGAAATGCGCAAACGCCACCTTCTGAAAAACGTCTGCAAATTTTTTCTTTGCATTTTTTATTCGAATAGTGATAAATGCACTGAATAACTGGACATAATGCCACTTTCATGTCTTCATTTTTTACAAAATTTAATTTATTAATAACTTATTCATAATAAATTATTAATTACTTATTAAAATTAATAAGATTTTTTGAAAAAGTTTACCGCTGCGTAAATATTGACATTCCGGACATTTATTACGTATTATCCAATTTTTAGTACAATTGCTTTAAAAACATCGAAAGTTTTGGGTAGCAATGATCTTCAAATTACGCGTTTTTAGAAACGCTCAAAAACATTTTCTTAAAAAGCGGTCCAAATTTTCTAATGAAATTGTGCGTTTAGGATGACCTTTTACCCTTCTGTAATATTCTAAAAGTCGTATTTTGGTACTACAATTTGGGGAACACATGCCCGAGAAATTGTCAAAAATTGGTTGCAGCTGATAAGAAGTTGGGAGAAAAACAAGACGATAGCCCAGACTAAAGAGATAAGGGAACTGAAACTAACTAGTGCGAGATTAGTTTTTGTCATTCTGTAGCAAGTTATACGTTTATTAAAAATACGTTTTACTGCCCTTTAAAATATCAGCAGGTTTTCTAGTTGAAACTTCTCCTGCTTTCTAGGTTCATATGCCATCTCTCAGGTTCTGCCAAAGATCCATGGCTTCATGAAATCTGCCACTCCGACCCCACAAATAAGGACAAGCAAACTGGACTTCAAAATGCAATTTACATTCTGTGTGCAGAGCGGTCACTCCAGAATAACTTGCGAATTGTTTTCAGATCGTTTTCGTGCAAGCAATATTCCGCCGAACGTTCCTACAGAGGAGAAACTAGTGGTGCTACAGAATGGAACATACTCTACCATGCTAGTTTTCTATTTCCTTTTGTCTCGGATAGCTATTCGAACTTGCCACACACGCTTGCCTGCTGCCATATATCGTCGCACACCAAGTACTTTTTTTTCTTTCAATTTTCCTAATTTTTCGGCTTCCTAATAGTAGAACGGACATATTATTTTTAGAATATTAAGTAACAGTAAAACCTCGTCGTAAATGGCAACTATCTTTGAAATATTTGTAGTGATTTTTAAGAAACTGGCGCATAAGCGCTACATTAAATTCGAAATTTGAAGCGCTTTTTCAAGACAATTTTTGGGTTTACGAAAAACTACATTTGAAGTCTTTTGAAGCACATTAACTTACAAATACAGTAGTGTTTACAAATCGCTGGATATGTGCATATTATCGGCATGAGAAGTTACAAAAAAATACATTTGTATAGTTTTTGAAATAACAAAAAATTACCCGAAATGAAATTTACCTCATATTAAAGTCACAATTAGCATTATCGTTCCGATAAGCTTGAAAAAAATCAAAGCGTTTTTTGAGAAAATGGCGTTTGAGCTTTTTTGAAATTGAGGAATTTTGAGCTAGTTTTCACAGAAAATGGTTGTTTTCGAGAAACTTTTTATGACATTATTTAAAGAACAAGTTGTCATAAATATAATGTGAACCAATCTCTAATGTAAATATTAACAACGTGAGAGACAAGACAAAAAATACATTTTTGTAATTTTTGAAAAAACAAACAAAAGAATATAGAAATGGCGTTTATGTCATCTTATAGAGTACATTTAGAAAAACCCATACCAAATGTTTAAAGAAAACATTTGGAATCGTTTAAAAAAAATTGAATATGTTCGGTGGCTTCATGTAAAAAATCCCAAATTTTAAAGATTTTTTTTCAAAATCTCTATGCTTTGATTTGAGCCAGGTGGATAGGAGGTTTATTCAATTTGGAAAAACTCTTATGCATGGTTTAGTCGCTAGGAATGTTCACAAAGGGACATTTTTGACATTTTCAAAAGAACTACTTTTTCGGCATCAGGCGACGCCAAAACGTGTATTTTCTTTTAAATCTCGAAATCATTCTTCCGCAGCATTACAAAACTTTCCCTATACTACGCATATTACTCCGTAGATACGTATTACGTGTACGGGACAGTAAAAAGAGCCAACGTCGTGGAAAATCTCCGATATAAGTGAATTGAACGTGTTATCTCATATATACATTTCTTAAAAGTGTCTCCTTTGCCTTAAAGACAACTTAAACCTACCTAGATATCACTGCTCTAAGTAATTTGACAACAAAATCCGTTGCAGGAAGATACTTGAATCAACAAGATATCCAGAGTTTCTCAGCTTCTTATTTGATTTGAGATCAAAATCGCGGGGAGCAAACGCTTAATACAAATGAATCTGTGAAATGTTCTTGGCAGCTAGCCTTGGGGCCAGGTAGACGCTCACAAGAGGACATTTTTATACGAGC